TCTTTCCATTCGGATCCAATTGCCCGTTCCGTCGAGCCTCATCTCACGATTTAAGTTGACCTCGCCAACTGGAAGCACCACAACTCCTCGGGCATCCCTTAAACCCAAAACTAACGCTAACACGACAACAACGCGACCACACAACAACACAACAATACTTCGACCGGAGGGTTGTTTCCTCGTTCGTTTGCATTGAAATTTGTGACTGATTGGGGTCATGCTTCACTGCGCTTTTTCGGTTCTGCTGGACTGGCAGCCGCGCGGAAACGACTCGGACCGAGGCGGATCGCGAGCGCGGAATCACTTTGGAGCTCTGAAGACGAGACGAAAGGGACATGTGGGCCGAATGAGATGAAGGAACGTCAGAAATGGGTAGCATGAAATTTCAAAGGAAAGTTGAATTTTGAGGAATCGCTTATTTCATAATTGTTGAGCTAATTTCTATTTCGAGTGAAAGTGTTTGGTGAAGAGGCAGGAAGGCCGATCCCACCAGAAGACGACGATGTTTTGACCGGAAATGGAGGAGATTGCCTCTTAAAACAGCGTTAAAAAAATGTTCCAGTAAAGCCAATCGACAGCTGGTGAAGGGAAATCCATCGTCGTCTTCTGGTGGGATCGAGCTTCGAACCTCTTTCATCAAACACAATTTCATTTGAAATGGAAGTGAGGCTTAACATGCATGAAATTGTCAAAATCATGTGACAAAAAGTGGACCTATTCGACTGTAGCGTGGTAGGGAAGGCGATGGCGAGCTTAAAGGGATGGATAGATGGCCATAACATATGAACAGGGTGTTAAAGCTCGGCGAATAAATGTTGGATTTCGAGGAATCTCTTGTTTCATCATTGTTGAGCTGACTTCCATTTCGAGTAGAAGTGTTTGGTGAAGAGATTCGAATGTCGGCTCCACCAGAAGACGACGGCGGATTCCTCTCGACCAGCTGTCGATTAGCGCTTCTGGAAGATTTATGCTGACGCTGTTTCCGAGGCAATCTCGTTCGATTCCGGTGAAAAGGTGCTGAGCTTTCGTCGGTCATGTGACGAAGATCATCAGAGCAAGGTAACATATATACAACCAAATTCAAGCTAACGAGTCGAGGAAACTCACCGGCAGATTCCTAAAAAGTGGTACACATACTCCACATCTGACCTCTTTGATCAAGTATAAAGTGATTTGATTAGACAAAGTCATATGTCAACTTCAATGCATGTGAGTGTGTCTGTCTCTGTATATGTACCAGAGAGACAGAAATGCATCGAAGTTGACATATGAACTCGATTGGGTTTTAGCAACATCCACAGCGGGAGTCGAACCATGACAGCGCAGCGTATACTCTCGACACGTTAACCACTACGTCACTTTCTACGAGTGCGATTGGTTCATGGGACAGATGTGAATTTCAAGGAAGGCCAGATCTTTTTCCATACCACATTCTTTGGTGGGATTTTTGATGAGGCAAAGTTATATTTGATATAACAATCGACAACGTAACCACAGCCCTTCATCTCTTTAGACGAAATAGGTTGAATACATTTCATATAATTGATGAATTGGTAGCCTCGAAACGGTACTCATAAACGGAAAATAAGAAATGTAGCTTTGCTTTATCGGCAATTCCAGCACAGAAAGTGATATGTGAAAATGGCAAGACTTCGTCAAAATCAACATCTGTCCCGTGATCGAAGGCCATGCCTTTTCCAATATCACATTTTTGGGTGGGATTTTCGATGAGGCAAACGTATTTTTGCTATAAAAATCGTCTACAATACTTCGTTTTCGTATAAGGTGATGAAGGACTGGTAGTAGGACTGGTGCGAATAGAATGAATACATTTCATATAATTAATTTACTGGTAGTCTCGAAACTCTGCTTATGTACACTTTGAGTATGTTTTAATGTTTTCCATAGTTCTATATGCGAAGAAAAGTTGAGTTTCGATGAATTTCTTGGTTCATAATTGTTGAGCTTACTTCCATTTCGAGTGAACGTGTTGAGTGAAGCGATTCGAAGGTCGGTTCCACCAGAAGACGACGGCAGATTCCTCTTGACCAACTGTCGATTGGCTTTACTGGAACATTCATGCTGACGCTGTTTCCGAGACAATCTCCTTCGATTCCGGTCATATGACGGACATCATCAGAGCGAGGTACCCTCGTCACAAGAAACTTTAAGCTAACAACTCAAGAAAACTCACCT